ACTTTTATAAGACAAAATTTTACTTTTATTTTTTTATTTCTTGTGCCTGGGAGTGTTGCAGGCTATAATTGCAAAAGCATCCCAGGGGTTAAGTCTGACTTAGAGAACAGGAGAAAGATTTACTCAGATAGGTTCTTATGATATTATTTAAGGTTTAATTTTGCCTTCCCCTCCCCCCTCCCCCCCCTCCCCCTCCCCCCCTCACATTGATGACAAAAGTTAGTCAGGTTCTGTCTTGTACCTTGTTGCTTTTGGGTTGGCTTGAAATACCTTCTTTGTTTTTTGTTTTCTTCTTGTCATGGTTGTATATTTTCCTCCTATTATTCCTGTCCTTTCTGTATCACTCTATCCTTTGTTCTCCCTCACAATAAGGAATTTTGTGTGTCATTAACTGCAAAGCATTGAAAATTACCTTGTTCCCGAGTTATTTAAGCTACTTGCTGAATTGTGTTACAGTTGACTGATGCATCTTTTTATTTCTCAGAACCTTGTTGATGAGTGTGCAAGTCAAGACAGAGGTTGCTTTGAGAAAGATACTCGGGAAACACGATGCCTAATTTCTGGGGCCCAAGACACTATTCCAAGCATTCCTTACCTTGAACTAGGAAGCCAAACAGGTAATATACAAGACCTTTCAGACCCAAACAATAAACTACAAAATAGAAGTAAAGAATCACTTGAACATTTGGATGAATATTTAGACATTAGCGATACTCCCGATTATGAGCCATCAAATTCAAAGGGATTTAGCAGTCACTGTAAAGAAATGACAGCTGCAGAGCCTCAGAATAATATGTTAAGAAAACCAGACTCGGCAGTGGATAATTACTGCTCGGACTCGAGCAGTAGTGAATATTCATATGATCCATCCATTAGAATATTAAACTATTCTACGAAAGGCGTAACGACACGTAATAAAACACATAAAGTACAAGAATCAAAAACTTTAGACAAATTCCCGAAGGAAATGAAAATGAATATTGAACCTCTTAGTCTAAGTGAAGTACCAGACAGAAACACCTCTCATGCTATTGTCCAACATGTGGTCACACCAGTAGGGCATGAAAAGAATTGTTCGGTAAGACCAAAGGAAATACAGATAACTCGCAATATAAACAAAGAAACTGTTAAGCTACGATCAAATGATTGTCTGCAGGATAAAGGTGAATGTAATAGCATCGGAAAGTTCTCTCTCCTTTCTTCTGAACATGCAAGGGAATCTGCTCAGTTAAATAAAAATGGAGCAATAAGCATTCCTTCAAAAATCCTTGAAATCAAAGGAGTAGTCCCTGAAGAGTCTGTTCACCAAAGCATGAACAAAGAGGGTGATACCTCTTGCAAGTCAAATAACTACATAACACAGAACAAAGAGGACACACTACTTAAAAACAAGGAAACCACACATGAGCACAAGGAGAGCATAAGACCCAGCAAGGTACAAAATGAGCTAAGCAAAGAAAAGGAATCTGAAAAATACACTTCCAATTTGGAATATGTAGAGTGTGTTAGAGAAATTGTATCAGCATCTCAGTCATGCTCAAGTGAAAAACCCCCCTCAGACAGGAGTGGTTGTTTTAGTGAGGGATCTGATGCTTTGAAAAAAATAATTTTGTATCAAAGGAAATTTATTTCATATTTAAGACAGCAAAATTTAGCAAAGAAAAATCATGAACTGATTTGTGATTTAGTTGACAATATTGGTAAATGTCAAGGGCTATATGAGAGACTGCTCAAATCAGAACCTCTGAATGAAAAATTGCAGAAAAGTTCTGATACTCAGGAATACTTGAAAAAAGATAGGTGTCTATCAGAATGTGATGAAGTTTATGATTCAGATGTTGATAGTGCTGAAAAACTTTTCAAAAGAAGTGATGTTGATCCCGTCAGGAATATTAAAGACCCCTCAGGAGAGAAGACCATTCAGGAGAGGAGAGGACCACTCAGGAGAAGACCACTCAGGAGAGGAGAGGACCTCTCAGGAGAGGAGCACTCAGGAGAGGAGAGGACCACTCAGGAGAGGAGAGGACCTCTCAGGAGACCACCACTCAGGAGAGGAGAAGACCTCTCAGGAGAGGACCACTCAGGAGAGGAGAGGACCACTCTTAAGCATGAAAGGAGGATAAAGGATATGGGATTTATTGCCCAGAAAGCAAATGAAGATGGTAAACACATGGTGAAAAGTACTCATTATAGCTCGAATGCCATGAAATGTGCATTACTTACCAAAGATCCTTTGCTGACTAGGGAAGCATTCGATACGGAGAGCGTGAGAATTTCAACAGAGAATCAGCATAACTTACAAAGCACGAACTCGTTCATGACCACTTGGGTAAATAATGCAGCGATTGGCTGTGCCTCGATGACATTGCCTGTTTATCCCCAAATTTTTGGATATGCTCAGGTGATTGAAACCCATCCATTTAATTTCCAACATTTTATCCCAGTTCAGAACTCGAGTTCTTGTTACCTTCCTTCAAATTTACAAAAAAATTAATACATATTTTTTAAGGCGAGTTGAGAATAGTTTTTGGCTTCGTAATAACTGTAACTTTAATTTTCTTGTATTCATTATGGAACAAAACTTTTATTTTTATTTGTAAACATACATGTATATATATATATATTATTGTTGATTACTACATCCTGAGGTCAGTAAATGGCCTACAGGAGACCTCAATAAACCTAAATACATACAGGCTTCCTGTACCTGGCAATGAGAATTAATGTGTTTTCTAAATAAATTGTTGCACTATAACAATACGTTACAAGAGGCTTTTCCTTTGTCATATAATTTGCTATCCAGCATTTTGTTTAGAGTTTCTTACTAATTACTATGTTTAATTTTGTTCTCTACATTATATATTAATTTTGTGCCTCAATCTAGGAATGATAATTAATCAAACGGATATGGGTTATACTGTCACACAAAACATCTGTACTTTAGAGACATACAATTTTGTTTTTTGTAATTGTGTGTTACACTATTAGTGAATTAAATTGACAGTATGTATACAACTGAAAAGGAAGAGTTTAGCAGAATTTCTAGAATTGGCTATGAAATAAAGATCTCCAAGCAGTCTTATCTCTTCCCTTTGTACCCTTGGCAGACTTCCATGTAGGGTTACTCTTTCTATTTTAATAGTTATCATGATAATGATGATTAACCCTTAAACCGCGCAGTTCACCTGCAAGCTCTCGTCATGTTTGCGTAATACGCCTCCGGGTATTTGTATTTTTCACATTCCATTCAAAACTCTCGCGGCTACATGGGGTTCACATCAGCTTCCTCAGGACTCTTGTAAACAGTCGCCATCTTTAAACAAAATTGTGGGCCACATTCCCGGGTGTGAGAGCCTCAGTACTGAGTGAGCAAGCAAGGCTAGCGCGCACAGTATGAGCTCACAGCACTGCTGTTCAGCTTGTGACCACAGCATCGCCTAATAATGTCAAAATATATATATAACTTGTATTATTTAGCCATGATAGTATTACAGAAGAGCCTGAGTATGATAATGACTGTGTACAATGTTCAAATATCATTGATTCAATGCTGTTCACGATGTTCACAGCGCTAACCACAGCAACACAGCATTATTTCGTCCATCTAGGAATCTTCAAACGACTTCCTAGGTTCCTTTACAAAGTAAACTTATTCATTTACAGGATTTAGTGACCAGTATTGTGATAACAGCAGGATTGTGGTGATAATAAGCACTGTGCATAGTATTGTGGGAGGAGCAATTGTGGTGAGGGAAGGAGGGAGGGAGAGAATCGAGGTAGCCTCAATGTGTGTGTGTGTGGCAGCTAGTCTTGATTTGCTCATCATACTAGCTTAGTGGTTCGCTATGGTGAACACATATGTACATGGGTATATACAATGTGTGTATATACCCAAGTACATATGTGCGTAGTATTGTGGGAGGAGGAATTGTGGTGAGGGAGGGAGGGAGGGAATCGAGGTAGCCTCACTGTGTGTGTGGGGCAGCCATTCTTGTTTTGCTCATATTACCTTAGTGGTTTGCTATGGTGAACACATTTGTACTTGGGTATATAAAATGTGTGTATATAGTGTAATAACAGCATCAGGAGTATGTTGGGAGGAGCTATTTTAGTGAGGGAGGTGACGTAATTGTAGCCTTGTCTGCTGGCTGCTGTGTGATTTCTCATGCAGTGTATGGTGGCCACTGTAATGTTGGACACAATACCGACTTACTTGCATAGTTCTGGTGAATAAAACATGTAGATAGGTATACATAACATGTGTAAATGGTGTAATAAAAACAATAACAGTATGGTGGGAGGAGCAATGTTGGCGAGCAAGATGTTGGAGGAGTGAGGGAGACACTAGATATTGGAGTGAGGGTGTGGCAGCTGACACTCGTGGAGTTCTGAGTGTGTTGATGGTGAATGTATATAGTATGTGATAGTGTGTAAATAGATTGTATATATACATAAATTAGCATGATGTATGGGAAATATGTGCAACATATGTGTACATGTGTGTCATGTACGTAATACAGTGTTTTCGGACAGTACAGATGTTCTACTGCCATAATATATTGTAAGTGTTCATTATACGTAGGATTGGCACGAAAAAACAAAATGTATTTGGAACTGTGCGCAAAAAATGAACAAAAATATATTTGCGGCAATACACGCATCCTGCTCCGGGCGCCCTACCGGCCTGGGGGAGTACGACGCGGGCAACCAGGTAATGATGACGTCACGCGTGAACTTGCGGACCCCATAGCAGCCAAAGTACGTACAATTTCGACCTTCTGTTACTATACCCATACTCGGGGAAGGGTTTTTGACACTTTCAAAACAAAAAAAAAATAATTTTTTCCAGAGAATTTATTTCCTGCACACTGGGGGGGTGTCATATTTGGAAGCCAAGCAGTTGAGTGGTTTATAATAGTACAGTAATTATATTTTGTAAAAACAAAAAATTAACAAGTTTGCAGTGGTTAGTTAGTCCATATAGTATTTGTATTTTTTATATCATCACTAATTATGAACTTAAGATTATGAGTGTTAAATTCTACAATATTTGAATTGAAACTAACATATAAATGTTTAATTTTTTTAATTTAGTATATGATATACAGTTTCCTAAAGTGATAATACTAAAAGCTATAGACTCATATATTTTAGAATCTGTACTATTATTATAGTTACTACTGACTGTTTTTTCGGTATTCAATAATCGTAATAAAAGCAAATGCATTGTTTTAATTTGGGTAAAGAAATATGAGTGTTATACATTTTAATTATTAACCCCTCAACTGCGCCGGCCAACAAATGTCGTTTTGAGAATTGTACTTTTTTATTAATTGGGCTATATTTTAATGTTTTTTTAATGTTTTCTTTACTCTTTGTGTTTTGAAATGAAAATAGTTTGATTTGGAAACAGTTTGACATTAACTTTACCGGAACATTTATAAAAACAACAAAAATAATATGTCCTTAACAATTGCTCTTTGTAGTTTTTGCCAAAAACAGGTGTGGAGTGCAAGGGTTAATGAGAAGTGTGTGCCATATTCCATCTGCCCGGGTATACCCACAGTACCGTTATCATGTTATAAAGTGCCATGTGGACAATTGGAGAACACTGAACGTTAGAGGTTCATGGTTGTTCAATATCCTCCTAGCAAGTATAATAAATATTGCTGGAATAAATTTGGAAGTCTTTAAGGAAAGCTGGATAGTTTTCTGCAAGAAGTGCTGGACCAACTTGGCTGTATGTGGAGGTGCAGGCCACTTCAAGCAACAGCCTGTTGGACCAAGCTCTCTCAAGTCAATCCTGGTCCCTGGGCTGGTCTTAGGGAGTTGAACAAGTCCCAGGATACCATCCAAGTATAATCCAGGTTATCTAAACTGCATTGTTCCACTTATATTCATACACCTGTCTGATTTTCAGGATAATGTCCTGAATGTCCTGATTTTCAGGATAAATGGAAATCTTCCTTCCCCATGCCCTTTTGAGTCACTCGTGCCTTGCTAAAATCCTTGGATAATCTGATACTTTCGACATCACTTGTCTGTCCCACTGCTCTTGTATCAGCATTTTTAATGGTGCACCACACAGTGGTAAATATTTTTTTCTGGTGGGAGACTCTACGGCTCCTTGGATCTATTGAACTGATATGCAATATATTAGTTTGGGGCATCAGTCAATGGAATTCAGCCTACTGAGAAACATGGCCAGAACTTGGCCCCCTCAGAGAGGTGAAGGGAGCGATGGCCTATGGAAGCCCCCCATGTGGTTGGGGGCATTCCATATCTGCCATCGACTGGGGTTGCCACCCAGAAAGGTAGGCATAGCATAACAAACCCCACTTGGTAAAAAACTGCGACCGAAAACCGAACAGAGACAGAATTCCTCCTCCGCATCATGTGTTGTGTTCGGTTAAGGCTCTTTGCTGTTGTCTGCAAGCCTCAGCCTCTGTGGTCGGAGACGTGTTTTGGGTTGATTCAGTTTCCCTCGTTCCCTGTTCCAGGTCTCGGGGTCTCCCAGGTTGTCCGCAGCGTTATCAAGTTTAACCAGCCTGCGGTCTATCCTCGTGCCCATGACGTTTGTAAGTTTGCTGCTTTGTATGCAGTCTTTGGCAACATGTCTTGAGCTGACATTTGGGCACAGGGATTTTGGTGGTCAAACAGGGTCCTGGCTGCTCGTTATCTAGTCAACGTTCCTGGTCTTTGTTGGTCGTGCGTGGCTTTGGGTTGTAGCCAGTTTACTCGACTTTGAGTTCAGCGAGTGGCGTCCGCCTCCCGGGTAAGTCCCTATTCCTTATCTTTGATGATGTAGCTCCAGGGAGCCATAGGGGCTTCCCCACATAAAACCAGTGTTGAATGTAATGAAATGCCAATTTCTGGGAGAGCCACCCTTCCTCCCTCCCTCCCTCCCACCCGGTCGGCAGTCCCATTTCCTTTTTGATGCTCAGCCTCTGAGCTAGAGGGCTTGGAAAGTCCGGGGGCTTCCCCCTCCCCGTCCCTGGTGAGGGAGGGCTGCACGAACAGGCGGTGCAGTGGTGATGTGTGACATTTGCGTGTTTGCTTGTTTCCTGAAGTTGTAGGGCGAGTTCTGCCTCCCTGTTTAGTTTCGGTCACAATTTCTTACCAAGTGGGGTTTGTTTTGTTATGCCTACTTTTCTGGGTGCCAACCTCGGTCGATGGCAGATGGAATGCCTCCAACCACATGGGGGGCTTCTATAAGCCAATGCTCCCTTTGCCTCTCTGAGGGGGCCAGGTTCTGGCTGTGGTCCCCAGTAGTCTGAACTCCATTGATTGATGCCCTAGACTAATGTATCACACATCAGTCTGAGAGCTCCAGGGAACCTCCAGGACTCGCCCAGAAAATGGCATTTTATTACATTCAATGCTGTTTTTTTTATAATTAATTTCCTCCTCCTGGAACATACTGTACTGATTTTTGAGAATGCTTGTAAATCTTGCTATACCAATGTCCCTTTGAGTCGCTTGTCCCTCGAGGAAGTCCTTGGTGAATCTGATACCTGTGACATCACTTGTCTTATGTATTTTTGCTGTCACATTGGCATCCTGAAAGCAATTTAAGCGTTTTTGATTGTTCAGCAACACAAATGGTGCCAAACCCTCTCCTGGACTTGGTGCCTTCATTTGATAATTACTAATGCTCTGCTCTGTTAATGACATTCTGGAGAATATCTAAGGGAACTCTTTGTATTCTTTATCACAGACAGTGCTGTACCATGTGTAGCCATCTTGGCTTAACACTGACTTGGATAAATATTTACTGTTTCCTTTGGTTATGTTTTTGGCAGGTCAATGAAAGGCCCAGAATGTGAAATTAATTTATTAAATACTGTGGTAAATTGAAAAGTAGATATTCTTGAAAGCTTGGTAAATTAAAAATTACCAACTTCACTAAGTCAAGTAAGCATTGTTAAGAACATGGAGATAAGATTACAGTATACACAAGAAATTACCTGGCACTGATTGTTACAGATTACAGGTAATGAATAATATTGCAGTGGTTTCTTAAAATAATTAAAATTAGGTATGTGGAGGAATGTAAATGTAAACAGTTGAGCCGCTAGTTAAATGACCTGGTAACTTGTATGCTTTTTGCATACAAGCTACCTAGAGCATGTATGAAAAATGTTCGAGTGGAGAATCTATTTAACACTAGACAAGAAAATTATTCCAGAATTAAATGTGATTTACATGATATGAAATTATTTGGCCCAAATGGAGAGTGGAGGCAAGTGTGGGACCTCTGTGCCACAGTTGGAGGAGTGCGTGGCATCCCTTTGTCAGCAGCATAGTAGCAGGCACAGGATACCTCCTCCAAGAGAGTGCATGGGATCTCTGCTAGATGAGTGAAGAAGTGCATGGTACCCTTTTGCCAGCAGAATTGCGTATATAAGATACCTCTAGAAGAATGCATGGTATCCCTTCACATGTAGATTGGTGGTGGGTGTGGGGTCCCATTGCTAGGAGTGCCATCAGGTGACCAAGTTCCACAGTTTGAAAATGTATAGTCTTTCTGACAGAAAAAAATATTTTGTTGAAGTTGTATTTCACAAATGCTCTGGTTCTTAGACACAGGTGTCACACATGAGCACTGGCTCCCTGACACAGGTGTCACACATGAGCATTGGCTCCCTGACACAGGTGTCACACATGAACACTGGCTCCCTGACACAGGAGCACTGGCTCCCTGACACAGGTGTCACACAAGAGCACTGGCTCCCTGACACAGGTGTCACACAAGAGCACTGGCTCCCTGACACAGGTATCACACAAGAGCATTGGCTTCCTAACACAGGTATCACACAAGAGCACTGGCTCCCTGACACAGGTGTCACACAAGAGCACTGGCTTCCTGACACAGGTGTCATACAAGAGCATTGGCTCCCTGACACAGGTGTCACACAAGAGCACTGGCTCCCTGACACAGGTATCACACAAGAGCACTGGCTTCCTGACACAGGTATCACACAAGAGCACTGGCTTCCTGACACAGGTGTCATACAAGAGCATTGGCTTCCTGACACAGGTGTCATACAAGAGCATTGGCTCCCTTACACAGGTGCCACACATGAGCACTAATATTTGACACAGATGTCCTATGACACCTTAGGATGTCTTAACTGACTAACGATTATTCTTTCTGAGGAATGTCTGGTGCCTTTCCTTTGTTCTTTATTAATGCATCCCACTTATCTCTGTTGTCTCTTCTCTTAGGTCCCCATGTGTCTTTAGCTTTGAATACAGCCTTCAGTTTCTGTTAGTGGGGGGAGAGGAAAAGTATGATTAGTTATATACATTTATCCATCAAAGTTTGAAACAAATAATTATGAGTGAGTGGATGGTGATTAGGTGTGCAGGGGTGATTTGTATCTGGGTGAACAAATCCACAAGGGCCATGATGAGGGTTCGAACCTACGTCCGAGAGGATCCCAGACGCTGTCTTAAACGACTGAGCTACACAAGAGCTCAGTTCATTTGATGCATCACCCTATTGTGATTTCTGTGTGTTGTATCTGGGTATTTATGTGGTGTCTTTGCCCACTTCACCACCTTGTGTCCCAGGGATGCCAGGTGGACCCATGGGTCTGGCTTGTTACAGCGACTGTGTGTGTGTGTCATTACCCAAGTGTAGTTACAGGATGAGAGCTATGCTCGTGGTGTCCCGTCTTCCCAGTACTTGTTGTGTAACGCTTTAAAACTACTGATGGTTTTGGCCTCCACCACCTTCTCACTTAATTTGTTCCAACCATCTACCACTCTGCAATAGAAAACTGTCTAATATTTTTTCGGCACCTTTGTTTCCTTAGCTTGAATCTGTGTCTTCTTGTTCGTGAAATTGCTGGTTTTAAGAATTACTATTTGTCAATTTAGTCGATTCCTGTAAGTATTTTGTAAGTGGTGATCATATCACCTCGTTTTCTTTTATCTTCTAGTTTTGGCATGTTTAACACCTCGAGTCTCAACTTGTAACTCATATTTGTCAGTTCCGAAAGCCATTTGTAGCATGGCGTTACACCGTTTCCAGTTTCCTTGTGTGCTTCTTGATATTTGGGCACCATACAACAGCTGCATATTCTAATTTTGGTCTCACCAAAGTCACAAACAGTTTCTTTTGTATTTCACCATCCATATAATTAAAATCAAGTCTGAAGTTGAAAAGAGATGCATACGCTCCTCTCACAATGTTCTTTGTGTTCCTCTGGCAACAGCTTGCTATCCAAAACCACCCCTAGGTTTCTTTATTAGAGTTCTGTAATTCCTTTCTACATAATTTGTAAGTTGTGTGTGGTCCATTTACTCCAATTCCACACTCCATAACATGGCATTTATTCACATTGAATTGATGCTTCTAGCACTTTCTTTTTATCTAGATCAATTATGAATTGATGCTTCTAGCACTTTCTTTTTATCTAGATCAATTTAAAAGGCATTACAATCGTCTGCATCTCCTATCTTCCCCAGTATCTTAGCATCATCCGCAAACATGTTCATATAATTCTGTATACCTTCTGATAGATCGTTTGTGTGTGTGTAATTACTTTAGTGTAGTTACAGGATGAGAGCTACACTTATGGGTGTCCTGTCTTCCCAGTATTCTCTGTTGCATAATGCTTTAAAACTACTGTACTTACAGTTTTGGCCTCCACCACCACCTCATCTAACTTGTTCCAACCGTTTACCAATCTGTTTACGAATGGGAATTTTCTTATATCTCTTTGGCAGCTTTGTTTAGTTAGTTTAAATCTATGACCTCTTACTATTTTGTATGTAGTGATTGTATCGACTCTCTTTCTTCTATCTTCTAGTTTTGGCATATTCAATGCCTCTAACCTCTCCTTGTAGCTCTTGTCCTTCGGTTCTGAGAGCCATTTAGTTGCATGTCTTTGCAACTTTTCCGGTTTGTTGATGTGCTTTTTGAGATATGGGCATATAAAATTGCTGCATATTCCAGCTTTGGTCTAACAAACATTGTGAACAATTTTATTAATATTTAACCATCCTTGTATTTAAAAGGAATTCTGAAGTTAGAAAATGTAGCATAGGTTCCTTGCACAATGTTCTTTATTTTTATTTATTTATTTTTATTTTTTGAGATATGTACAAGAGTTGTTACATTCTTGTACAGCCACTAGTACGCGTAGCGTTTCGGGCAGGTCCCTGGAATATGATCCCCGCCGCGAAGAATCGGTTTTACAATTAAGTACCCATTTTACTGTTGAGTTAAACAGAGGCTACAGTTAAGGATTTGCGCCCAGTAAATCCTCCCCGGCCAGGATACGAACCCATGACAAAGTGCTCGCGGAACGCCAGGCGAATATGTGGTCCCCAGGTGATAGTTTTCTACATGTATCTGAAACCACCCCTAGATCTCCTTCTTTAACAGAATTCTTTAAAGAATTCTCACATAATTTATAGATTGTGTGGGGGTCTATGTTCTCCTATTCCACATTCCATAACATGGCATTTATTCACATTAAATTTCATTTGCTAAGTGGTGTTCCATATACTTATTTTGTCCAGGTCTTCTTGAAGGGCATGACAATCATAAAAGTTTCTTATCTTCCCTAGTATCTTGGCATCATCAGTAAACATGTTCATCTAATTCTATAGATCATTTATGTAGACAATGTACATTACTGGTGCAAGAACTAAACCCTGTGGTACTCCACTCTTGACAATTCTCCTGTCCGATACATTGCCTCTGATTACTGCCCTCATTTTTCAGTTAGAAAATTTGTAATCTATGTTAGAAACCTACCTGTCATTCCTCCAGAGTGTGTGTGTGTGTGTGCGCACACATGCATTCATACATACATACATACACACACACACACACACACACATACATACAAACATACCAGTACATAAAAAAATCGAAGAAAAAGAAGTCATATAATCACCATTTACAAGATAATAACAGGAATTGACCAAATTGACAATGGAATTCCTGAAACTAGCATCTTGAAGAACAAGAGGACACAGATTCAAGCTAAGGAAACAAAGGTGCCAAAAAGATATTAGAAAGTTTCCTTTTACAGAGTAGTAGACAGTTGGTACAAGGTAATCGAAAAGGTGGTGGAGGCCAAAACCGTCGGTAGTTTCGAGGCGTTATATGACAAAAAGTACTTTGAAGACGGGACACCATGAGCATAGCTCTCATCCTGTAAATACACTTAGGCAATTACATACTGTACATACTAACAATTTCAAACAATTTTTATATTAATGCCAATTTCACTAAAATGTCTACATTCCAATACAATTATCTATTCCAATTCTTGTCAAAAATGTAGTTGGATGCTTTTCTGAAAAATTTTTGCATTTTAGTTTGAAAGTTAATATTTGGCATTACGAGCATGGTAAATGTACTGTATTAATAATACAGTATAACTGATTTAAGAATAGTAAACATTGGCTTTTACTATAGTATTTATTTTGAATTCTCATTTCATTTCATAGTTTTTGCATATACCATATTTTATAATTAAAATGTATATGTTAAATTTCTGGCTCACTGATTTTCACACTATTTTTTAATAAACTATTTTGTTAAATTTCTGTGACTAACTTCAAACCCAGAACTTATAGCTACAGTGCCATTGTGACCTTACAATAGTACGTACCTCACTGAAAGCAGATTTGTCGTTGATGTATAGTGCATGGATGAAGCATAGGGGCACCATACCAAGGGCTACTGCAGCCAAGATCCATCCACATGCTGTTGGCAAAACAAGAACTCAGTTTAGGTACAAGTTTTGCAGGAAATAGTGACTATGAGCTCAGACAGAATTACTGTAGTATCCCAGAAATCTATAAACTTCTAAACATAATGCCAGAATTTTTGAATATTGAAATGCCTGATGCTTGACAAATAATATTATTGCACTGCACATGTTAAGTGATTGGTTGTTTTCATCAGCAACAGTTAGTATATTGTTCACCCCGTACTCATCCTGCAAGTACTGTAGAACCAATGTGTTTTCTGGAGGGGGCCTCTTGTGGCTTCCTGAAGCTACTATACTGTTATACTGCCAGACAACAAGGTGCCATTAGTCACAGAGTTCTAGTTGGTCTACTGAGGACTACAAACCAGAATCTGGCCCCTCTCAGAGTGGCACAGGGAGCAGTGGCATGTATGAAAAATTTTAGGTAAACTTATTCATGTGTGGCAGACATGAATATTTACTGACCCAGAAAATCAGTGAAAGGAAACAGACCACTCATTGGTTAGAAATGAGACCACAGCCTCAAAACAGCCAGAAAGCTCTGCACTGTCAGGAGTTATTTTTCCTGGAGTGCTCGGGATTCACTCCTTATGGGGGGTCTCATTGTTTATGTTGACTCGTGCTTTTAGGTAAACCTGTTGTCTTGGACTATCTGTATTTCCTTGATTATGGGGTGTTTTTGGCTGGTAGGGCACACTGTGGTTTGCGCAACCTTGCTGGCGTGCCGAGGTAGTCTTTCAGATTTATATACTGTACTTGGTTAGGTATATGATTTTCCATTGTTTACTCATTCTACAGGCTGATGCCTTGAGAATTGCAGTCCTTGTGTTTATTCTTTGGTCCTTTCCAAGGTTTTAAGTTTCATATGTGCTACATTCCACTTTTAGGTTTTATTTGTACTGATCATGCCTCTATTAGGTTCTTACCTAGTCTGTGTGTGAATCATTCCCTTTTGGTCTCTTGCCCTTTCTATTAGTGTTGGGTTTCCAAGGGTGCCTATTCAACTGTATAATTGTTTGTTTTTATTTATTTATATTGTCACAGTTATCTCCTGCATAGTAGTAGATTCTGCCTGTTCCTTACCACCTACATATCTGCATGCTACAACATCAAGACTCAACATCAACAACAACATGTGCCAAACGTATTGTCTAGACACGCCCCCCTCTCCTCCTCCTCTCTACCTTCCACAAGAGATAGCACACCTGCCGTCTAACCAGCTCACCAGACGCCAGACAAACTATCATGATGGTTGTTATCTTGCCGGATTCTCTTCTACAACTCCAACATTCGTGCCAATATAACGTCACACCCCGTATATATACACTTGCCAGCATCCAGCACAGCAGATTATCCTTCTAGTGCTCACTGCTTCAGCATCTATCCTCGCCTACGGGTGACGGTAGACGCACATAGCATTTTGTATAAAGTATCACCTTTACCTTTGTTATTAACGTAAAATTCACATATATTTATTTCTTTTGATTGTGTTTAAGCCAAGTGGATAAGGGGTTTTGTTTTCATTAATTGTTACTTATCATTTTGTGTAAAATGATAGTAATTTTTTTTTTATATTAAATGTTTAAAGTCTTTATTCTCTTGGTTTTTGCCAACAATTGCTACACTGTAGAGGACTCAAGCAGATTTTTCTTCTTTTGTTTATTCTCTTGGTTTTTGCCAACAATTACTACACTGTAGAGGACTCAAGCAGATTTATTTTCTTTTGTTTTCTCTCTTTCTATTAATGTGCATTTGGCACAACACCTGCCTGAATAATTCTCTATTCCAGATCATGTCACAATATATACAAGAGTTCTTACATTCTTGTACAGCCACTAGCAGGCATAGCACTTTGGGCCAGTCCTTAATCCTAATATTTCCCCAGTTGCTGGCATAGCATTCCCAGTGCCTGGACATACCTGCAGGGAACACACCCTACAGGCCCTGAAAAACCCGTGTGTTCAGTGGTACTATGGATACCTCTGCCAAGCCCGCTCTCGCTTTGTGTGAATTTTAGGATTGACCGTTGTCTGTGACACCAGGAGACATTCATTCTTTTTACCTCCACCATGCTTCCTGTTGAGTCGGTGACACCTTCAACCCCAAGTCGTGTGGGACTTATTCCCCACACGTTGCTTTCCTTACCCACCTTCCTGATGATGATCAAGGGTATCTGGCAGCAGCTGATTTACATTTGTTTTTCTGTGTAGTGTGGTTGTGTGCCTAGTTGGTTGTGCAGGTTATGTGCCCAGTTGGATGCCCCGGATTTGCCCCACTTAGTGTTTATAGACTCAGATTTGGAAGTGTTGGTTAACTCAATCGTGGTTCCATCTGTACCTCCTCTTTCTTTCCTGGTGGGTGTGGCTCGCCCTTCTACCCTCCCTGCTTCGGGACCCTTGAAATCTGAGGGTTTCAAGAATCAAGGCAGGGTTTAGCTCGGGATGAAGCCTGGGGCAGATCTAGGGTTTACCCCCTTATGAATTGGTCATAGAGTAAATAAGTCTACTGATCCTGCCAAGGCGTCTGGATCTTTCCAGCTGCCCCCCCCCCCTCTTCTGAGGCTTCTTCCTTGGACTTAGCATTTCTGTCTCTGGTGCCCTCTTCTGCGGCTCCCGGGGTTTGCTGGAAGTTGGAGTTGGGCCTTTGGGTACCGTTTCCAAATGCCTTTAGGTTCTTTGGTTTCACCCGTCTGGAGGTTTCTTACCTCTCGATTTTCCCTGGCGACAGCTTGGAAGGCCCTTTTTGCATACCTCGGTGATGAACCCAGCCTTTTTTGACTTCGGTTTTTCTTTTCCTTTTTTTGGGTGAAGTTTTTTTTTTTTTGATGACTGGAACAAGGTTTCCGGAGTCATCCTGGCTGGCAGGCTGTTCTTTAGAGCTTGGTACAGTTTCTGTCGTTCCCCAATGCTTTAGCGGCAGGAGGTGTCTCCTATGTTGCAGGTGTTTCCAGGGAGGGGGGGGGGGCTCTTTTGAGCCTCTTGGTGCCTGCCTTTTTGCTCTTGCTCTCTCTTGTGATGTAGGTTTCATGTAGCTGCATGCTCCAATCCATCAGTTGTCGGCTATGTTGGTTCCAAACAACCTTCATGCTCACTCTCACACTTGGGTTCTGCTGTGTTCTTCTTGAGCGTCTTTGAGCTGCATTCCAATTAGCTCACAGAGGATGTTGAGGTACTCGGCGAGGTTCCTCTTGCAGGGGTTTTAGTCTCTGCTGCAGTTGGATCGGTGGCCCTCCTCAAGCTGTATGCTTCGATCCTTTGGGAGGAGGTGGCCTCATTTTTTTGCCTCTCACCTCGCGTGTTGGCAGGCCATGCTGGCTCAGTCCTTGGACTCGGCGTGGGACCCTTGCTCTCATCTCAGCTTCATTTTCTTCGCACCTATTTCCAGAGGACATTGTTTCCTAGTTCCTGTCATCTGTGGGCACTGCTAGTCAGCCTGTTTCTGTGTTATTGTGTGTGTGTGTGTGTGTGTGTGTGTGTGTGTGTGTGTGTGTGTGTGTGTGTGTGTGTGTGTGTGTGTGTGTGTGTGTGTGTGTTTACTAGTTGTGTTTTTACGGGGGTTGAGCTTTGCTCTTTCGGCCCGCCTCTCAACTGTCAATCAACTGATTACTAACTACTATTTTTTTTTTTTTTTTTCTCTCCACACCACACACACACACACCCCAGGAAGCAGCCCGTGACAGCTGACTAACTCCCAGGTACCTATTTACTGCTAGGTAACAGGGGCATTCAGGGTGAAAGAAACTTTGCCCATTTGTTTCTGCCTCGTGCGGGAATCGAACCCGCGCCACAGAATTACGAATCCTGCGCGCTATCCACCAGGCTACGAGGCCCCTACGAGGGTGTGTGTGTGTGTATGTGTGTGTGTGTGGAGGGAGGGGGGGTCGTTTAACCACATGCTGGATCGCATGCGATTCCTACAGCCGGTTCTTCTTCGTCTGATCAACGCCATGTTCGTTGTTTGGAAGGCGGGCTCACAGGGTTTGCACTGGCCCTTTCCTCGGTCGCCCCTTTGATGGGGTATTGAGGACGGGAGGCTTGCTCGGTTTGCCAACAAGGAGGGAGGGGGGGGGCAGGTTCTGGTTCGTGGTCCCCGGAAGGCCAGATAGAAATCTGTGGCTGATGCGACCCATTAGATGGTATACTATCAGTGATGTATACCTATATATGGTATATTTCAGGGAGCCAGATTTAAGGAGCTAAACCCAGTAACTACTATAATTCATACATGTGAAGACTACCAGTAGGACTGAATATCCATACATCCCTGGAAATTTGGAAGCATGTGTGTAACGCATGAAAGCATAGAGGTAAACAACTCACCATAGGCTATAACTGGATAGTCTTTATTATCAAATGTAGGAAGCTTGAAGTCCACGAGACTGTAGACGAGGATGGCAGACAGGCTGACTGGGATGAAGAATACCCAGCAAAACTTCCAATAGATCCCAAGATTTATATTCATCATGAACTTCAGGTCTCGCATGAAATTTGAGTAACCTAGTATGGTGTTAAAAAATTTGAAAGTAAATTAATGTTCTGTGTCCAGCATAACATCTAATGTAAAAAGTGTAACTGCAAATTAATCACAATATAACCTGAATAGTATTAAGGTTTGAGATATAGGAAAGTCCATTAACTTCCTGTAAAAAATGTAAAGCTACCATATATGTGGTTGACAGCTATGGTTTCCACGATGACCAGGATGTAGATGATAAATCCACCACCGAAGAAATCCACCAAGTCTAGTATCCATTGGCCGCCCTGGAGATAAGAATATTGTATTACACAGATATTCATATCATGATTTACAAAAATAAAAATGATTTAGTGTTGACATAGAGACGGGTGTCACTCTTCCGCTCCCCCTCCCTCCCTTTCCTGACACCTGTCTTTACACCTGCCCCATCCGCTCTTTTGGGGCAGGTGCCTCCTGCCCCAAAGCCTCGTGCTACTTTTGAGCTTCCTTCCCCCACCATTCGGAGGGGGAAGGAAGCTCCCGTAGGCAGCCTCCCCATCTCCCCACCCCATGCCATTCTTATGTCTTTTTATAACTTCAGCCAATTACATGCTTACTTGCACGGTGATCAACCTTAACCCTCACGCCCTTACCCGCCTCATGCGTTCCTCACTCATCTTGTTACCTAGTAGTGTACATTCATCATCCCAGAACAGCTCCTTGAGAAGTGAGGCCGTAGTTTAACCTGTCTTCCATTTCTTAATACCTTTGGAATTTCTTCACATCACTTACGCATGCACAGTACATCTCTGCTGTGCCCACTTATGTAAAATCCATGTTCATTTACGGTTCTACTTTATAACTTACATTATTTTACTTTATAGTTCTATTAAAAAAATCCCTATTTTGTCTGCTGCTAATACATATTTGTTTGAAAAAGACGAGTAATTGACAAGAAACATTGTAATAAAACCCTGGATCTGCTATAGTTCCTGTTTGCATTCTTCCGATTTCCTCAAATTTATTTGATAATTTTCTTATGTTTTCTTAAATTGAGACGGGACAATAATCTTACTGATAATCGTAGTTGTTTTTTGAGATATTCTTTCTTGGAGAAGGCAAACCCGTTTCCAGTCTTTCAAGTTTTAAGCCTGGTCCACATAAGTGCTCCCAGGGCAGCTCTGATAGCATTGTTTGTGCTACTTAAAGCTTTTCCCACTGTTGTTGTGATTGGCTTGTGTTTGTTACAAGTTGTTGTTTTAGATTCAGCTACTCTGAACAAAACGGTCCAAGTAGCGCTGTAGTGAGCTGGTAGTGGACTTACCTGGCACAGGAGCGGGTCTGTAATTGGGGGGGGGGGGTACAAGATTGATAAAGATTTAGCCACCAAAAATGTGGCACGAGCATGGATAGCCCGTAAGTGGAGGTTCTTTTGGAGCCATTACCAGTACCAATAGCTGATAGTGGAGATCTGTGGATGGCTGGGGTCTTCATGGTGGCTCGCAGTTTAGGGCCCGCAGGACGCTTGGTCGCCAGGTTGCAGTTTAATTGATGATTGATGAAGATTCATGCCCCTGCCCCCAAAAGGTGGCAGGGGCATGAATAGCCCGTAAGTGGTGGCCCTTTTGAGCCATTACCAGTATCAAGAGCTGATACTTGAGATCTATGGAGGTGCGACTGCACCCTGCGCCCCTTTATGCAGGATTATGTGACCTTTCATGCTGGGATAGACGAGGCAAGTGATAATACTGTAGTAACCCCTTACCAATACGATGACCAGAGAAAATGGCGGAGGAGGTGACTGGAGATAACCGTCCCGGTGCGCCTTACGAGAATGTTAGCACGTGGACTGACGCCCTTTTGCTCCCGCCTAAGGTTTGTACAGATACAGAATACTGTATTATAATCAGTGGCTTGCATTTGCTTACCTCTTGTTTGGTGGATATGTGAACCACTAAAACTTCATTTGTTTCAGAAGCATTTTGCTGTAGACTAGTTGTCGGAAAATCCGACACCATTTAATAATAATATCATACAGACAGATAAGAGCTGTGTTACCAACAAGTTACCCATAGAAAACGTAACCTGTAGTGGAATTACGTCTAAAGAAAACGGGATATCATCACCACATACCATTATAATTCACCAGCTATTCTGGTGGGAATTATTCTTAAATACATTAGTCTTTGGACTTTACCATCATAAAAACATCTCATATAAATTAACTTAATTATCAATATTAAAGTAGAGTAAATGTGACCCTTCTATCACGTTCTGAAATCTGGACAATGTAAGCCAGGCGTCAGAGTGGAGGAAGGAGGGCAGCCATTGTTGTTTATATAGAGACCAGAGGCTCACACGGGAGCAAATTCGGCTCCTGTTAATTTTACTTGGACGTAGTGTTATGGATACCAAAGGTGTACCATCTGTCAACACGCTGTCAACAAATCAAGTTAAGTGTTCTTTCCGAAACCCATTATCTATCATTAGTGGCCATTAATGTCATTATATAGGGTGACCCGGTTAGAACGCGAAATCGCCTCATACTAAAGGTAATTAAGCCAGGTCTTCATGTTCCATGTACTGTTTTCTCTGATATACTTGTCATATATAGGTATCTGGCTTCACAGCTAGCGCACTTTTGACAGGTCAAGACGAGGATGCAAGATTTGTGCACCAGTTACTGGGTGATATGGAAGCTACCTCAAAGAGGATAATTAGGTGTCTACACCCTAGTTATACCTGGTGGACTAACCTGCTGTACTATAAGATAAGGAACCTCTTCAATGTATGTAGTTAATTTTGTAGTTTGATTGGCTGCATATATATATAAACTATTAAACCCCCCTAATGTGTAGAGGATCGATTTGTGAGATTATAAGATTATTGCAGAAATACAGTCCACTCATTATTATACAAATTGCTATCGAAGTATATAAATTAACGTAAATATAAATTCATATAAATTAAATAAATATAAATCTCACAGGTCGGTTCCCACAGTATTTGGTCATCTTCGAACCGGATGACGGATTATTTGATCCTTTGAACCCACATTTGGTCATCTTAGTACCGGATGAACCAGTTAACCAGTGGATTCATTAAATATACTAGTGCAGTGTTATTTAAACAAAGCCAGTCAAAGACAGCGGCGAAGCCTCGTGGGAGCTCAGGAGCCTCCCTCAGCCCAGATCAGCTTCGTCAGCGGTTTCATACACACCCACAGATATTTGGTGGCGTGTTATTTCGTGAAATGACAGCGCTAATATAGAATCCAGCCAAATTAGTGACTGTGTCGCGAGATTGTTCACGGATTTCGTGGTGTTACATTTCGCGAGAGATTATCTACGAATTTTGTGGACTTTATTTCGCGAGGTCTTGGGTATGAAGTATTCAATATGGTCTCCTTCAGCGCCTTCAGCAGCCAGCACATCTGCTCGTTCATTTCCACATATTCCAACATGGGAGGGGATCCACAGAAACTTGATGACTCTTCCCTGATTGGTAAGTATTCTCACAGCTCTCTTGATTTCAGCGACTATTGCAAGATTTTCTGCCTGATTTTTACTTAGGCTTTGCAGTGCTGCCTTTGAATCGGTGCAAATCACTGAAACCTTAACGCCATAACAATGGCAGTTAGCTCTGCTTGCGTTGAAGAGGCATAGTTCTCAATACGTGCTTTTTCTTCATTTCTGCGTTGGAAGGTATTATCCTTGATTACCGTGTATGCTGCACCAGCCCTGCCATTGACAGGATTACATGACCCGTCAGTGTAGATTTGATCTAGTTCATCTCCGGCTTCTTTATAAATGTCCTCGAGATACTTGTGCCTCATTTCTTGTGGTATCATGTTGGATTTTTTCATTGCCATTTCATTGATGATGATCTTGCATGAGTCATCCTCCCAGGGAGGTAACCTCTCTACAGGCATGAGCTCACGGGCTTGCTCAAGCAGGTGAAGCTCTTCTAGGTAGCAGACTGATCTGTGATGCCATTTTTTGCTCCTCCTGTTTTCCCCTGAAAGTAGCACAGAGCTCAGTTTTTTCTTAGCAATATCATTGTAATGGGGATCTCTGGCTATTCTAATTGCAAGCTTAGCATTCAGCTCCTTAATTCTGCTTTTAACACTGGGGAGGGACAACTCCTCTCGTAGATTAGACGTTTTGGCAGTTCTTGGAACTCCAAGAATGATTGTCATGGCTTCATTTTGAATGCTTTCAAGCCTTTTCATATCGCTTTGGGAGTAGGTGCACAGAACTGGTGCGGCATAGTCTATGACGGAGCGCACATAGGCTGTGTACATCATTTTAAGCACGGCAATAGAGGCTCCATGTCCATTCCAGGTCATAGCTTTCAGTGCCCTGAGTCGACTTTTGCATGTTCCTATGAGTTGATTGAGCTCCTCTTTCTTCCCCTTGTTAGAGCCGACAGTGACGCCAAGGTACCGATAGTGGTCAACCCATTCAAGTGTTACACCATTAATTTGCAGTTCTTCATTTGCTCTCCGCTTGTGATGGGAGTATGCCTTCGTCTTGTTTGTGGAGAGAGTGAAACCGAGCTCAATACATTTCCTTCCGAGGAGTTCAACGGACTGTTCAATTTTTCCCAAGGTGGGAGCTTGTATTTGAACATCCTCCGCCTATCCCACTTCTCGTGTTCCTTCCGGAAATTCAGTATTTGCAATGGCGTTCATAAGTATGTTGAATAGTGTTGGGCTTAAGACCTTTTGGGGACCTTGGGGGGAGGGGGGGTCCCGAGACTGTTGAAGCCGACCTTTGGCTTTCCCTCCCTGTGAGATAGTCTTCAGTCCATTTCATGAGTCTCCCCTTGACACCCATGCATGCAAGCTCGTCAAGGATCGCAATCCCTTGTGCTTTGTCGAGGCTCCTTTGATGTCAACAAATAAAGAATACTTAGCTGTGTCATTAGCCAAGTAATTAACTATACAATTTGCTGTGCTCCGTCCTTTAACAAAGCCATTGACCCCCTCCCCTAACCTGCCTAATTTGTGCAACAATCGGTTTAGGATGATCGTTTCAAGCATCTTGCAAGTGCATGACACGAGGCTGATAGGTCTGTAATTACCAGGGTCATTAGGCTTCGGTATGGGAACAATTATTGCGTGTTTCCATTGTGTGGGCAACTCTCCACTTAGGAATGACTTGTTAAACAGGTGGAGTAGTGGATTCCCAGACACTTCACACAGTGCATTGAGTATGTCGTAGGTGACGCCATCCTCACCAGGTGCTGTACTTTTACCCTTTTTCATAGCCCCCTTTACTTCCTGGGCTGTGATTGGTTGCCC